GTTGATCCAGCAACACCACTGCTAGGTCTATATCTCAGAGACATCCAAAAAAAGGGAAAAGGACCTATTTGTACAAAAATATTTATAGCAGCTTTTTTTGTGGTAGCTAAGAATTGGAAATCAAGGGGATGCTCATCAATTGGGGAATGGCTAAACAAGCTGTGGTATATGATTGTAATGGAATATTATTGTGCCATAAGGAATGATGAGCACGTAGATTTCAGAAAAAACCTGGAAAGACTTATATCACCTAATGTAAAGTGAAGTGAAAAGAACCGGGAGAACATTGTACACAGTAACAGCAATATTGTTCGATGAAGAACTGTGAATGACTTAGCTATTCTCAACAATACAAAGATCCAAGACAATCCTAAAGGATTAATGATGAAGCATATTTTCTGCCTCCAGAGGAAGAACTGATATTGTCTGAATATAGACTGAAGCATGCTATTTTTCACTTTCTTTCTTTCATTCTTTTTCTTTTATTCGAGTCTTCTTGTACAAAATGACTAATATGGAAATCTTTTATGTGTTGCACATGTATAACCTACAGCCGATTACTTACCATCTGAGGGGGCAGGGCAGGGGAGGGAAGGATGGAATTTGGAACTCAAAACTTTTAAAAAAATGTTAAAAAATTGTTTTAACATGTAAGTGGGGGGAAATTTTATATATATATACATATAGAAGAATATAATATATAATATAATAAAGAATATATTAGAGAACATAATAAATATAAACGAGAAAATCTTAATAATTCAGATTAAACTTAAAAGTATGTTGTGGAGGAAAAAAAGAATTCTCTTCTGGCTCTCAATCTATGATTCCAAAAGGGGAAAGCACATTGGTTGAGATTAAACCATCAGGCCCATATGTCCTTCTGAAGATACTAAAATCACTAGTGGATGTAGCAGATGGGATTGCTGAGCTTCTCTGTTACGATGTGAAAAATCATGGAAGGCAGGAGCTATGGGACTGAGGACAGGAATATCAATGTAGTGGGGGGAGAGAGGTGCTACGGACCACAGATACAGAAAAGCGTGTGTGTGTGTGTGTGTGTGTGTGTGTGTGTGTGTGTGTGTTGTAGCTTTCTAGAGACTCCTTGCATGGCATTGGGTTGGGGGACAATTGCACTGATGCTTCTGATAGGGCTGTAGTGAGCCACGTGGCTTAAGGAAAACCAACCAAAGAACTGAGCTGGTATGTCTGATAAAATTGACTTATGTGCCAATTGGGAGACAGAGGCAAGTGGAGAGATGGTATATGGAAGATAATTTTGGAAGATCACTCTGCCTCTGTGGCCTGTTCCTCCCTTTCCTTCCTCTATGGGTTCCACTACTGATTCTCCATTAAGTCATTCAGATTCCTTCTTTGCTCTCCCTGTCAAAGTTCCTTTATGTATTGCCTTTCTCCATTAGAATGGAGGCTCTTTGAGAGCTGGGATTGTCTTTCCATTTGCTTGTACCATGTTTCACTGCATAATCATCCACTTCATAATCATCACATCCTGTTTTTTTCACTCCAAAAATTGGTTTATAACCTTTCATCACATAATTGTCACATGGTATAATTCCATTGGTCACGCAGCTTAAAAGGTAAACTTGTCAGTATATTTCTGAAAGCTGATTTTTGTGGTTTGTTTAGAGCGCTGCAGTAGTAATGGTATTGTCACTCAACCCAATGAAGAGCCATAGGTGCAAATGGTCGGGGAGGCAAAGCTGCCACGGGCAAGTCACATGATATAGTAAGACTTGCATCTTCGCAATTTTAACATATATTCACAAGTATTCCATGTATCCTAATCATGCATCAAAGACAGTTTAGTAATAAATGATTTTTATGTAATAATGGCATAATTTTTTAAAAGCTTCACATAATGGTCTCACCCCACTTTTTTGTGGAAAAAATTTGGCATAGATTTTACTATGACAATTATATGGTGAAATATGGTAATGTGTATTCCTGGTGCTCAGCACGGTACCTGGCACATCGTAAGCATTTAACAAATGCTTGTTGGCTTGTTGACTTGGGAGTCAGTAGGGGCAGAGGCCAAATGAGATTGGAGGTGTGCCTAAGCATCATAGACTGCTGATTTTGTGGTTTTTATCCTTTCTTGGTGGCCTTCATGAGGAATGGGCATCAGAGGAAGTGTGGAGTGTGTACGTCTGGTTATTGTATATGTTTCAAACCAGGATGTTTACCACTAGGGAGGTAGTATATCTGTAACTCTGGGAGGGGTCATGATGAGAAGATCAGATATGGCAGATCTGCTGTGCTATTTCCCTGAGAATGAGTGAATAAATTGAATAAGTGCCAGTACATGCTAGTATTTGTGCTAGGCACAGGAGATACCAACACAAAATTAACTCAACATTTGCCCTTAGGAAGTTTTTTATTCCATAGGCGTATATAGAACAGATAGAGGAGTAGGAGTCAGGGAAGAGAATTTGGGTCTGGGTCACAGACACTCTGAACGGAGGTGTAGAGGAGCAGATTGTCATGGCCTTTCCAGGAGCAATGACAGCACAAGATTGGACTACTGTTCCCAGGAGCAACAACAATTGGTGAAAAGCAGGGAGTAGAGATGGGCAAACAGTAGGAGGGCAAATAAGATGCCTGCCCTGCCCAGGGTAGACTCTGCTTTCCAGTTGGAGAGAACACTCTCCCTGAACCACTCCCTTGTCCTAAAGACCTGTCCACGGCAAGATCAAAGCACTCTGTTTTTTCAGATGTCAGGTCTTCAGAAAGAGCAAATTTTCCAGAAAAGGAGTGGAAAGGTATTCTTCACACTGGAGGTTGGTGAGCTTAATGTTGATTCCTGGCCAAAGTCTAGAATGCATTATTAAAGTTTTGGGAATCCCAAGGAGCCAGGATGAATCCATCATTGGAATTGGGCCAGACTAACCTCATTTCCTTTTTGTGACAGAGTTTCTAAATTGGTAGATGAGCTGGACACTGCAGACAGAGTATGTCTGGATCACAGCAAGGCATTTGAAAAAGTCTTACTATATCTTTGTGGACAAGATTTAGAAGTGTGGACTGAATCATAATGGAGTTAAGTGGGTACAGAACTGAATGAAAGGCCAGACCCAAAGTTGATGAGTGTAGTTCAGTTACATTGAATTTCAGGTGATTGCAGAAGCTACAAGTCAAACATTCAGCAGGCAGCTGGATAGCTTAGTTTATCCCACTCTGCCTTTCTTTCTATACTTACCGAATTAATGCAATGAGTTTGTTTAAGGATTAAATCTCTGCCTCTGATACATACAGATTTGTGACACTTAAACTCTCAGTGATCTAGGCAATTCCCTAAGACTTTAAGTTAAAGAAAAGGTGCTGATCCATTGGTAGAAAGGGTTTTTTCACCAGCAAGTTCTCTATACCAATGAAATCCTATTCTGAGTCCCTGTCCCAGTTCCTGTCCATATTAACGAGCATGTTAATGCCCAGCTGCTGCAGTTATTATTTATTACAAGGAAGTTGCAGCTGGGCTTAATCACTGTGTAGGAAGATGTAACACTGAGGAGAGGGACATGTGCTCTTAGAACTACATTTACTATTGCCATCTCCCATGATAACAAATGTGGAGCTGTGGAAAGAGCACTATATTTGAAGTCAGAAGAACTGAGTTGGAATCCCAGCTCTGCTACTACCCATGTTACCTTAAGCAAATCAAAGAATCTCTTTGGGCTTCAATTTCCTCACCCAGGATTCCTTCCAGTTCTAAATCTATGATCCTCTGTAAATTTTAAGAGGATGATTTTAGAGCTTTCTTTCTGCATCATAAAGAATGACTTCCAGTCAAACAAAGGAGCTCCCGAGAAATGATCCCTTTCCTCCTCTGATCTCATAGGACTTTATACTACTTGTTTGTACTTAACTCATTTAATTTTGTAATTTATAGTTATGAGTGCATGTCTTATCACCACTAATAGATTATATACTGATTGAGATCAGATATGGAGCTCTATATTACCTTGAGTATACTTAAATATGTTCGCTGTCTCTCTAGATTGAATAAAAGTCCCTTGAGGGCAGGGATCCTTTCATTTCAGTGACTAGCACAATGCCTGGCACATTGTAAGTGCTTTATAATTAGCTATTTGATTGATTGATCTTTTCCAATGCCTAGGCATTTACTAAATATTTATTGAATTACTTCTATATCAGCAAAATTGCTAGTGAGGGGCTTAGGAACAGTAAAGGGTTTGGAATTAGTTTCTTTCATGCCACCTACATTTCAGCCAGATTGGTTTACTTGAGGTTCAGGGCTCAGGGCATTCCATTTCCCATCTCTTTAATTTCCCATCTCTTTCGGATGCCTAGAATGGATGTCTTCTATAACTCTCGCGACTCCACTATTCCTTTAAATTCGGCTCAAATGCTGCTTTCTACAAGTGGCCCCCCCTCTCCCTCATAGAGAGTGCAGACACTTTGTATCTGTTCTGTGTTTGATTTTAGGCATACATGTTGTTTTCCTCAATAGAATATAAGCTCCTTGAGGGCAGGAACTGTTTCCTAATTGTCTTTCTTTGTGTCCCCAGAGCGTAGTACAAAGCCTGACACGGTCAGTGTTTGTTGAATGAATGAGAGGGTGACTTGTGTGTGGGAATGTCGTTTATTTGTTTCAGTGAAAGAAAGTTTCACAGATGAGAACTGAATCTGGGTCAGGGTGTGAACGTGAAGCCAGGGCCCGGGAGAAAAGGAGGAATGAGTGGAAAACAAACTTTTCGGCCAGAACTGAACGAGCTTGGCTCCCAGCAAGGAGAAAAGGCAGAAATCCGATTGGGACTGAATGAAGTAAATGAGCAATGGGGGAGAAGTTTGCGGAGGGAAGCGGGAAAGGGAGCAAGTTGGTGGCGAGCATTGCACCAATCATCGTTATGGGGGCGTGGTTACTTGGGTTCAGGCCAGCTGGAAAGACTCTGCCTCCTCCCGCCCGCCAAAGTCCAGATGCCTGAGCTGTGGTGCATTGGACCCGGGGGAGGCTTAGTCTCTTGAAGCCAGGGGTGGGGCCCTAAAATCTTGGGATGCTAAACTGCGGACAGGGCTTAGATGAATAACCCTTGGCAGAAAGCACGTATTGCGAGGTCAGCTTGTGCCAGGTCATAAGACCATGATAACTTGGAATCACAACATTTAGGGTCCTGCCTGTGGGCTGGGCAGGGACAAGGGGGCCGAGCTTAGCAGGGATAAAAGGACATCGTTAAGCCCCGGTCTCCTTTTTTTCCCTTCTAACTGGGCAGTTGCTTTGCGAGGAGAGGGCCAGTCTGAGGGGGTGGAGGCAGGCAGCATCTCAGCAGTGGCCAGGGAGACAGCCCAGGAGAGGCTAAGCATATCACCAAAGGACTAGAGGAGCCAGATTAATACCCCAAGACCAAGACTCCAGGAATTGAGAGCTCATCCACTTTAGATCAGGGGCAGGAAGAAAGGGGAGGGGAGACAGGGTGGGAACTAGAGAGCAAAGGGAGAACTAGATAGACTTTTATTCCCGCTGGGAATTCCTGCTGCAGGGCTCGTGCTTGGCTAGGGCGGTGGTGAGCTCTTTTAGGTACACAGAGGGGCTCGGGGTGAAAAGCGAGCAATGGCCCTGGCAGGGTGTGTGCAGCCGGCCGACTGGAGTGGGGTAGAGGAGGGCCCCCAGCCAGCCCGGCCCAGCTTGACCTCCATCTCTTCTGGGGAGCTGCGCAGCCTGTGGACCTGTGACTGCGAGCTGGCCCTGCTGCCCGTGCAGCAGCTGCTGCACATGCAGCCCAGCTTCTTCCAGTTGCGGGGAGACCAGCTCCTGGTCCTGGGGCCTAGGCCTCAGGAGGCCCCACGTGGGGGGTTCAACGTCTTCTGCGACGGCTTCGTGCGCCTGGACCGTCAACTCTACAGAGTCAGCAACTACTTAAAGAGGTGGGTGACTGAGTCTGGATACCTCCATCCCATCTTTGCTTCCCCAGAACCCTGAACCCCCTGGTTTCCAAAAGAACCTGGGCTCGCCTCTCTATTCTCCCTTCTCAGCTATCGAGGCTGAGCCATCCCTACCCTCCTGCAGCTTCTAAACCTCATGATTTCTTGCTTTGCCCAGCAGCGGATGTGCATCTCTTTTCTCCCAATAACAATTACTGTATTTTGCATTGCATTTTCGCAGGTGCAGGTCGAAGGCCCTCGGGAAAGCACTAATTCTGTGGTTTGGAAAATTGGGTTGGGTATGCGACCCAGCACTGGGGCCCCCCTCGTCCAAATCGCTGAACAAATAGACTCCTTGGGACTGGATCTGTAACTGGGATTGCTGGGATCAAAAGGAGTGAGCTCCTTTGGGGGAAGCATAGGCTTCCTATGAAATAGAAATACCTATCCTCTGCTTTAGGCCTGGGGAACCCTACGGAAATCTAAACTGCCCAGAATTTGGCCTAAGGGGAGAAGACATCAATGTTGATTCTGTGAACCAGGGCTTTCACAGGGAGCATATAGAAGTGGAATTTTGCTGTGTATAGTAAAGTAAACTCAAACCTTGTCAGCTCACTAGAAATTTACAATTTAAACAAACAACCAAGGACGGGCAGGAAGCAGTTGGACAGATGACTGACTAAATAGTGATCAGTGAATAGAATGGTTTATTATGGTTCAGAAATAGCAAGAGCTCTTTTCTAAGACAGAAAGGGCACCTTTGTATTCCTTGCCTCTGACAAATACTGGCTGTGTGATCCTGGCTAAGTCACTTAATGTCTCTGTTCCAGGCAATTCACTAAATCGCTGAGAAGCTGCTGAACAGCATTGGCAGAAGGATTTCCTCAAGGGGAGGGTGGGAACTAATGAAATCCAAGGTTCAGTCCTTGTCCTATTAAAAGCAATAGCAGAATGCATGGTCAGTGAACTGTGAAATGAAGAATAAATTGCTTGAGTAGTATGCTAGAATAGAATGGTGGAAGAAATTCATTCCAATTTAACATAAATTTATTCAGCACCTACTATGTGCCAGGCATGGAGGAGACAAAGACAAAAAGGAATTGGTTTCTGTCCTGAAAGGGCTTACGGTTTATTGAGGGAAATTACATGTACACAGATAAGTAAATGCAAAATGTAAAGAGAATAAATATAAATTGTGTGCAGAATAACTGGGGGGTGGGAAGGAAAGAAAACACTAACAGCTAGGGGAATCAGGAAAGTTCTCTTCTAGGAGATGGCAGTATAGCTAGGCCTTGAATGGAGGAGGGGTGGAAATAGGGACTCCATGGGAGGCAGAGCATTGCAGGTATGAGATAGAGGAAGAAGAGACTGTGCAAACATCAAGCCTTCTTCCACTTAGGAAACTCATTTTTACTGAAAAGGAAGGATTTTGAAATTCTAACCAATGGAAAAGAGGGTGCTTGGTGAGCTGGGAAGTGGAGAGCATTCTAAGGATCCTAGGCTACTAACAAAGAAAATTCAAGAGTAAGATGAAGGGGATGCTGAATTGTTTTGCCTCCATGCACTGAAAATGGGCCATGTTGGAATTCTGGCTCAGAAACAGTGAAGTCGCTTTCATAAGAAGTCAGTGCCTAGAGCAGGCCTAGGATGTGCATAAACTTTGGCTAGCCCCCTCCGTGACCTTAGAGGGAGTGACCACCTACCACTAACATGAGTCACTCTTCAGATAGAAATGAATGATTGTGTTGGCTCTTCTGACTAGATAAATGTTTCCTGACACATGAACATTTTTTTTATCACTGACCTATCTCTGAGTGATATTATGGTGATTGGTACTTGCAAAGAGCTATGCATGGTTCTCTCTGAAGAACCTACAATGTTAGTCTTTTAAAATAAGTTCTCCCTCCTCATATTTGTTATTTTGTCTCACTTCTGGTAAGTTCTTGTTTTTCAAAATTTTTCTTCCTGTCTCAGGAACATCTAAATTCACCTCCCAAGCATAAAACATGCTCTTCCTCCTCCCTTTCCTCCTCCTCCTTCCCCTCTTCTTTCTCCTTCCTCCTCCTCCCCCTTCTTCCTCCTTCTTTTCCTTCCTTTCTCCTCCCCTCCCCCTCCTGCTCCTCCTCTTCTCCTTTCCCTAGTCCTCTTCCCTCTCCCCCTTCCTCCTCCCTCTCCTCTTTTATTTTCTTCCTCTTCTTTCCCTTCCCATTCATCCTCCCCTTCCTCTTCTTTTTCCTCTTCCACTACCAAAGATCAGCACCAGCTTTGTACCTTACAGTCTTAGAGCAGAGGTTTTTAACCTTGTTTCTGTCACGAGCCCCATTGGCAGTATGACAAAACTTACAGACCCCTTCTCAGAATCATGTTTTAAAGCATAAAATGAAACCAGGTTACAAAGGAAACCAATTATATTGAAATACAGACCCAAATGGTAAAATCCCCAAGTTGATAGATCCCTGAAATCTATCTACAGACCTGTAGGGGGTTTATGGACCCTAGGTTAAGAACTTATGGAGTTACCTGAGGAACTGTTAAGTGACTTGCCCAGCGTCCCATGGCCAGTGTGTGCCAAAGATGGTACTTGAACACAGGTCTTCCAAAAGCTGGCTTCCAAAAGCTTCCAAAGCTGGCTGTCTAGTCACTACGCCATGCTGTCTCCAAAATGGGTTGGTAATTTGTCCAAGCTACCCCAGATAGTTTGATTATAGGGCTGGACCTAGAACCCAAGTTCTTTGGATTTAGTCCCATGTTTTCTTGGCAATATTCTGTACTGATCCCTGTAGCTTTAAGGGCATTCCTTGGGCAATACCTACCACTGTACCACAGGCAAAATCTACATTTAGCCATGCTTTCCAAAACCTAAAAACATAGATAGGGAATTTCTTTGGCTGGGGCAGCTGTTGTAAAATCTGCCTAAAATATGGACAAAGTTCTACCATTTTTGTTGAATTGATTTAACATTTCAACACCTTAACCTGCTTATGCTTAACCCTATTACAGCCATGAGGTGTGGAAGAATTATGCCATAGTCATAAGGTCAGTAACATAATCAGGACTGAGAGAGCAGGAGAGCAGCTTCGGGCATTGAGTGAAAGCCCTAATAATAAAAAGCTTCTTCCAGCTGCTACAACTCTACAAAGAGAGGTAAAGTCATGAGGAGACACACACACACACACACACACACACACAGAGAGGCAGAGAAAGAGAGAGATAGACAGTCAATGCACATTCACAATGGTGGGAGTGATGATGGTGGTAGAAGAGGGAGAGGGAAGGAGAGAGAGAGGGAGAGAAAGAGAGAGAGAGAGAGAGAGAGAGAGAGAGAGAGAGTATGCTTAGGATACAAGTAGGACAAAAGGGGTAGAGTAGCTATACAATAAAGAGTTAGCACATTCTCCTTCAAACCCCCCTCACCTGTTCAGTTAGTTTCCAAATCTTATTAACTCTATATCTATAGCCTCTATCATGTTTGTCCCCTTCTTCCTATTTAAATAGCCGTCATGCTCATAGGGCCCTTATCAGGTGGGCTATCGCAATGGCTTCCTAATTGGTTTCCTTACTTCCAATCTCTCCCCTTTCCAATCCATCTTCCACATAGCTGCTAAAGGTAATTCTCCTAAAAAACAAGTCTGACCATGTCATTTTCCAGCTCAAGAAGCTTCAGAAGCTCCCTGTTGCCTGTAGGGAAAAATCCAAAATCTCTTTGGCATTTAAAGCTTTTTACAATTTGGATCCACTCTATTTTCCTAGATATGTCACTCTGCTTCATGCAATGTCCAGCCAAATTGGCCAAATTGGTATTCTCGAAACCCAGTATTCTATCTCCTGCTTTTGTGTAGATTTGCAGAGGCTGGAATGTACTCTACCTTCATCTCTTAGAATCCTTTGCTTCCTTTGAGGCTCAACTCATGAAGGCACTCATACAGGAGGCCTTTTCTGATCCCTGTAGGTCAGGGGTGCTTAACCTGGGATCCATGGATAGATTTCAAGGGGCCCATGAACTTAGATGGGAAAAAGTTACATCTCTTATTTTCACTAACTTCTAATGGAAATTGACCACTTCCTTCAATTATTAATGCAGGCAACAAATATTTTTTTCGGAGAAGAGGTCCATAGGTTTCACCATACTTCCAGAGGGGTTCATGACACACACACACAAAAGTTAAGAACCCTTGCTCTCTTCTTCCTCAAATTATATTGTAATTATATATCTCTATAAATGTTACATCCTTCAGTAGAATGTAAATGCTTTTAGGGCAGGCATTGTTTTGTTTTCTATTTAGTCTTGTGTGTCCAGCAGCTGGCACACTAACCTGAACATAATAAGTGCTTAATGTTTGGTGATTGAATTGAACTTAAAAGTTGGTTTAAACATGATATAAACACAATAGAATTATTCTTTCATTTAAAGCTGCCTTGGGAGGTTGAAGAAGGACCTGTGTTCCCTTTGCATTTACTTTGCTCCGTATTTATTTGTATATACTTCTTATTAGCCCTGCCACATTATAAATTACTGAAAGTCAATGACCACCAAGGATCTAAGTACACCCTTACTGCATATTTATTAAATGAGTGAATGAATGAAATGAATGACTGTGATAATGGCACAAACCACTGGTGAAGATCTTTAGGTATGAAAACTGTCCCAGATGATGATGGAGTGGAGAGAAGGGGACAGGCAAGAGAGATGTTGTAGAAGTAGAATTGATAAGATTCAACAATGATTGCATAAAGGGGAGGGATAACTTAAAATTTGTAAATCCGGGACTGGAAAAATGGTGATGTCTTCAAAAGATATAGGAAAGTTAGGAAGAGAAAGTTTGACAGGAAAGAGAATGAGTTCTATTTGGGGTGCATTTGATTTGTTTTCTCCCATTTTATTTTTTCTCAATTACATGCACATTTTTTAACATTCATTTTTAAAAATTTTGAGCTCCAAATTTTCTCCCTCCCTTCTCTTCATCCCTACTCCTTGAGAAAATAAGCAATTTGATACAGATTTT